AGACAGTGTCTCACACTGTCCCCTAGGCTGGAGTGCAGTTGTGCAATCATGGCTCACTGCAGCCTCAACTTCGTGGGCTCAAGAGATCCTCCTACCTCAGCTTCCCAAGTGTCTAGGATTACAGGCATGTGCCACTATGCCTGGCTAATTTTTTTCACTTTTGTAGAGGTGGGGTCTCACCATGTTGCTCGGGCTGGTCTCAAACTCCTGAGCTTAAGCAATCCCTCTGCCTTGGCCTCCCAAAGTGTTAGGATTACAGGTGTGAGCTACCAGACCCAACCCCAAAACATATATTCTTTTAATCAGCACGTGGTACATTCTCTAGGATTGACCATATGTTAGGACATAAAACAAGTCTCAGGAACTTAATAAAATCAAAATTATATCAAGTATTTTATCTGACTACAATGGAATAAAATTAGACATCATAACAAAAGGCACACTTGAAACTATGCAAATACATGAAAATTAAGCAACATATTCCTGAATGACCAATGGGTCAAGGAAAAAATTAAGAATGAAATTTTAATATTCCTTGAAATGAGTGAAAATAGAAATACAACCAACACCCATGCAACACAGCAAAAACAGGAGTAAGCGCCAAGTTTATAGCAATAAATGCCAACATCCATCAAAAAACTAGACAGATTTCAAATAAGCAATCTAATGAAGCACATAAAGGGGAAAAAAAGCATAAAAAATGCTTGAAAAAAGCATGAAAGAAAAGCATGAACAAATCAAACCCCAAATTGGTAGAAGAAATAATAAAGATTAGAGCAGAAATAAACAAAATTGAGACTAAATACAAAAAATCAACAAAACAAAGGCTTTTTTTTTTAAAAGACAAACAAAATTGACAAACCATTAGCTGGAGTAACTTAAAAACAGAGAGATAAGGCTCAAATAAGTAAAATCAGAAAATGAAAAAGGAGACATCACAATGGATAGCACAGAAATATGAAAGATCACTAGAGACTACTATGAATAACCATATGCCAATAAATTAGAAAACCTGGGAAAATAGATAAAATCATGGACACATTCAATCTACCAAGATTGAACGAACAAGAAATAGAAAATCTAAACAGACCAAAAACAGGTAACAAGATTAAATGAGTGCATAAAACATCTTCTAAAAAAATAATAATAAAATAAAGTCCAGGACCAAATCGTTTCACTGCTGAATTCCACTGAACTTTTAAAGAAGAATTAATACCAATTATTCTCAAACTATTCGGAAAAATTAAAGCAGAAGGAATTCTTCTTAACTCACTTTATGAGACCAGTATAACCCCAATACCAAAATAAGCACTCAATAAAACTACAGGCCAATATCCTTGATGAACATAGATGTAAAAATCCTCAATAAAATACGAATAAATCAAATCCAAAATCACATCAAAATCCCACTTGATAAGTCAAGTGGGATTTATCCCAGGAATGCAAGGATGTTTCGGCATACAAAAACCAATAAACATCACACATCACATCAACAGAATGAAGGATAAAAACTGTATGATTATCTCAACAGATGAGAAAAGCTTTTCATAAAATTCAGTATTCCTTAATGATAAAAAAACTTAATAAATTAGGTATAGAAAGAAAGAATCTCAATGTAATAAAGGCATGTAACAAACCCACAGCTAACATCTTACTGAACTGGGAAAAGCTGGAAGCTTTTTTAGAACTGTAACAAGAAAAGGATGCCCACTATCACCACTCTTATTCAACATAGTACTGGACGTTCTGGCCAGAACAATTAGGCAAGAGAAAGAAAGAAAGGGTATCCAAATTGGAAAGAAGGAAATCAAATTGTCCCTGTCTGCAGCCAACATGATCTCATACATTGAAAAACCTACAGACTCTACCAAATAACTTTTAGAACTAATAAACAAATTCAGTAAAGTTGCAGAATACAAAATTAACATACAAAAATCAGTCACATTTCTATACACAAACAACAAACTATTTGAAAAAGAAAATAAAAAAGGCAATGCCATTTACAATACCCAGGAATTCATTAACCAAGGAGATGAAAGACCTCTTCAAGGAAAACTACAAAACACTGATGAAAGAAACTGAAGAGGATACAAAGGGAAATGTACCCCATGCTCATGGATCAGAAGAATTACTACTGTTAAAATGATAATAGTACTCAAAGCAATCTACAGATTCAATGCAACTCCTATCAAAATACCAATGACATTATTCACAGAAATAGGAAAAATATCCTAAAATTTGTAGGGAATCACGAAAGACCCCAAACAGCCAAAGCAATCCTGAGCAAAAAGAAAAAAACTAGAAGTATCACACAATCAGACCTTAAAATATATTACTAGGCTGTAGAAACCAAAACCACATGGTACTGGCAAAAAAAAAAAAAACAGACATATAAACCTATGGAACAGAATTAAGAACTCAGAAATTAATCCATGTATCTAGAACCAACTGAGTTTTTACAAAGATGCCAAAAACACTCATTGGGAAAAGGACAGTCTCTTCAGTAACGGATGCTGGGAAAACTGGATATCCATATGCAGAAGAATGAGACTAGACTCCCACTTCTCACCTTGTATAAAAATCAGTGCAAAATGGATCAAAGACCTAAATGTAAGACCTGAAATGATAAAACTAGTAGAAAAAAACATAGGAGAAATGCTTCAGGACATTGGTCTGGGAAAATACTTTATGAACAAGACCTCAAAAGCACAAGTAACAAAAGCAAAAATAAACATATGGAATCATACCAAACCAAAGACTTCTGCACAACAAAGGAAACAACAACAGTGAAAAGACAACCTATGAAACGGGAGGAAATATTTGCAAATTGCTCATCCAACAGGGGATTAATATCCAGAATATACAAGGAACTCAATAATCTCAACAGCAAAAAAAAAAAAAAAAAAAAAAAAAATTCCAATTACAAATGGGCAAATAATCTGAACAGACATTTCTCAAAAGAATACATACAAATGGTCAACAATAGATGAAAAAATGCTTAACATCACTAACCAAACCACAATGAGATATCATCTCACTCCAGTTAGAATGGCTACAATCAAAAAGACAAAAAAAAAAAAAAAATGCTGGCAAGAACGCAGAGAAAGAGAACTCTAATGTTATTGGTGGGAATGTAAACTAGTACAACCACTATGTAGAACAGTATGGAGGATTTTCCAAAAACTACAAATAGAGCTACTGTATGATCCAGCAACCCCACTCCTGGGAATTTATCTAAAGGAAAAGAAATCATCCTATCAAAGAGACAACTGCACCCACATGTTTTATTGCAGCACTATTCACAATATTCAAAATATGAAATCAACCTAGGTGTCTAACAGATGAATGTATAAAAAATGTGGTATATATACACAATGGACTCTATAAAAAAGATTGAAATCCTGTCATTTGCAGCAACATGGATAGAACTGGAGGACATTATGTTAAGTGAAATAGCCAGGAACATAAAGTTAAGCACCGCATGTTCTATCTCATATGCAGAAGCTAAAAAAAGTTGATCTCATAGAGGTAAAATGTAGGACAGAGGATACTAGAGACTGGGAAAGGTAGGGGTAGGGGGGGATATGGAGAGATTTGTTAAAGGAAACAAAATTACCACTAGATAGGAGGAATAAGTTCTAGTGTTCTACACCAGGAATCCCCAACCCCTAGGCGAAGGACTGGCACCTGTCCGTGGCCTGTCGGGAATCAGGTTGCACAGCAGGAGGTGAGAGGCTGGCAAGCGAGCATTACCGCCTGAGCTCCACCTCCTGTCAGATCAGCAGCGGCATTAGATTCTCCTATTATTGTGAACCCTATTATGAACTGCACATGTTAGGGATCTAGGTTGCGCACTCCTTATGAGAATCTAATGCCTGATGATCTGAGGTGGAACACTTTCACCCTGAAACCATCACCCCACCCCATCCGTGAAAAAACTGTCTTCCACAAAACCGGTCCTTGGTGCCAAAAAGGTTGGGGACCACTGTTCTACACTATTATAGCATGACCATAGTTAACAATGATATTTTAATATCATACAGTCTCATATAGCTAGAAGGAGGATATTGAATGTTACCAACACAAAGAAATGATAGATGTCTGAGATGACAGATATGCTAATTACCCTGATCTGATCCCTATATATGTATCAAAACATCACTATGTAGACAATGAATATGTACAATTATTTATCAATTAAAAATAAAGTTAGACAAAATCAATAACACAAAAATAAACAAATATGTAAAATTTACAAAAATTTTCTTAAAAAAAAAAAAGACTGACAATTAGTGTGCTGAGTCATTTTGTGGTTTCCTGCTTCTAAAAAAATTGGATAAGGAATAGAACAATATGCAGTAATTGACGTCACCAATATATTATAAATTCCTTGATCTTCACTTTTGTGAACTTATACACATCAGAAAGTCAAAGACTTGGTGATCAAAATGATCAACTAGATGAAAAACAAAGGGCTATAACTTCCCCTGAGTTGGAGAATAGTGTTCAAATGTCACATCCAGTATCAAAATGCAGAAGATATTTTAAAGTAGTACTCATGAAACAGTATAGCCAAACAATCCATTTAAAAAATGGATCACCTGAAAGAAAAACATAGAGAAAAACCAAGTTTTTCTGCTGTGGGAGAATTATTCATTCTAAAGTACTCTGTCTTCTACTGCTTTCTTTAGTTTAAGTTATACATTATTTGGTAATTGTAGCAACACTTTGCTTTCAATGTTGTAAGAGGAACTCTTAGTTAAAAACAATGAAGGACTTGGACTCTGATTTCTAAAGTCTCCTCCAACTAACATACTATTTTCTTTTATTTTTAATTTTTTTAAAAAAATTTCACAGGTGTTGAATCATTTTCTTTGTTCTGAGCTATCCTCATGGCATATCTCAAGAATATAATTCAACTCATGACACACACACAAACACACACGCAGACATATATGGAATCACATACAGATCAAGAGATACGTCTAATGAATGCTTACCTGATAACGTGTTGGCTGATTGAGAATGCTGTTAAAACTGTGTGATTCAAAAACTCTTGAGTTAGACTGAGTGAAGAGGTTTAACTAGGAAAAAATACAATTAACCTAGTAAATTAGAATACATTCATTTGGAATAAAAAATATAATCCATTTATTCTCCTTGATAACATTTCTGGAGTCAACATTCCCAAGAAACATTTTGTGGAAGTTGAGCTTTGTAAGTGATGTAATATATTCCCAAAGGTTAAAATTACTGTGAGCAATATGCTCACATTTATCAAAATGTTGGCACAATGTACTACTGTAATAGAACTATTTAATTGAAATTATATGTTAAAAATTGGCTCATAAGAAACATAATTTTTCCTGGGGACCTTGCATACTTTATCAAAATGTACTCAAGGCATCTAGAAGGCCAGGTTCCATAGAAGTTCGATCTGTTCCTGAGTCTCTCCTAGACTTGAATAGAAACACATTGCAGGTTCAGATGGCACCATTTGGTATTTTGCAGCCCTAAAATATTAGCCAAAATAACCCATCTTCCAAAGTATCTTGGCCTTATACTGAGTCAGGTTCACAATTTTGGAAAGAATTGGGCTAAAGAATTTTGGTTTCCTTTTCTTTTCTCTCTTTTTCTTTTTAAGGTTTAGCTTTTGAGTGGGTAGGAACAGGAAACAAGAGGAACCCACAGGTACTACCTACTCTGCACGTATATCAGCAGGTCTTCTTATCTGTGGACAAGCTCTGCCACTGTAAGGTGTGATTCCAAGATGTGGCCCTCTAGCCGAAGAGATGATTCACCTCACCACCTAACTTCCCACCATTGTAACTCAGGAAGGTGTGGGATGCTAAGAAGAAGGAAGTAGCGCTGATAGGAAAGGACCTTTCTTTGCTCTCTTACAATTGTGCCTGGCGAAAACCTTAGCTAACAAAAAGTTAATTCTCCAATCAGCCACTGGAGGCCAGTATCTGATTGCTGACTGAGGTTAGCTGTCTAGGTTAGCAGGAAAGATTTCTCGAGGCTCCTTCCCCTCTTCTAAAAAAGAGAAATAGAAAAATATAATTTCTCCAAATTTCTGCTACATTCAATACATGAAGAGTATCTATGAATATGAGTAATATTAAAGAGATGTAAACGTCTGTATGCAAAATTTAAAAAATAAAATCAAAAATTTATTTATTTATTGTGGCAGTTTTTAACCAGATACGGGAAGAGTGGAAAGTCGAGGAGCAAGCTTCCTGAGAGATCAGTGTCCAACTTTCTATTTCCAGCATCTTCTCTGAGAAAGGCTATTCTTTCCTGTCAATGGTACCATACAGGCAGGAGACGACAGCCTAAATGCAACGCTTCCTTCCTGTTCCTGTGAACAGGCTGTGTTTTCTTTACAGGGGTCTAGGTAGCCATAAGCCTACTGTGTGTGCTCCTCTCAACCTAACGTTTAGTATTTCCCCTTCTACATTATGATAATATCAGGAATGAAGTCAGTGAGACCTGTTGCCTAGAAAAAGAAAATTCAAGGTATGTTCTGTGAAGTGCAAGGGTTGTGAGCTCCCACATTTGAGAGACTTCTTTTTTGCAATAAAGTCTCAGTTAATAAATCCCCAGAAAAACAAAGACCCCTCAAAGCAAAGTCAATTTCAGTAGCAGCAGGAGCTGCCCAGGGTGACAACTAGAGCCCGACTCCTTTAAGAGACCAGTTACCTCACAGCTGAAGGTACAGCTTGCTGAGAGGAAGTGGGCTGGTAACCAAGGGTGAACTCAGGTGCTGAGCATGAGGCATCCAGGTGCCGCAGAGAGAGCTAGGCATCTGATGCTAAAATACTTGAATTCTTCACCTACCCCACACTGGTCAGTTTATGTGACCTCGCATAAGCAAGTTATCTGAATGGCTTCAATTGTCTTATCTATAAAATGGGAATAATGATAATACCTACCTCACAGCGTTGCATGAGGTTCAAATGTACAGCAAAGCACTTTGTAAACTGTGAATGAGGAAGGGCACTGATATTTGTTGAGGCTGGAACTTTGTAGATCTCATATAATCCTCACAACAACTCTACAGAGTTAGACAATTGTCTACAATTGGTGGACAATTAAGGCTCAGAGTTGTGAAGTGATTTATCCATGTTCCTTGCTAATAAGCCACAAGTGCCACAATTCAAATCCAGGTCTAATGCCGAAGCTCTCTTCTTTGTGTTATACTGCTTCTCACTGCATACATGAGGTATTATTTTAAATTATGGGCTGTTGCAACCAATTGCTGACTTGTAACCCAATAGCCTTAAGAGCCCATATCCAGGTCAAACAAAAAAAGATTTAAAAGGTCACTTTCTTAAAGAATGCAATTCTTGAAGATTCAAAACAATTTTAAAAAGCAATAAATCAAATTGCACTAATCTTAGCTTTTTCTCCCAGTTTCAACTGAGAAAAAATATCTACCTTCACTCAGGAAGGCATATGCTTTATGGAGATAACATTGATATCTTGTGGGCTTTTAGGATGTTATAGCTACAGACCATTTGCACAATTTTAGAAAAAGTTATACTTCATAACTTTGTTCCTGTCTGCCTCATTCCCTATTATTTAGGTTTGCTCACATCCTTCTATCTATACCAATTCCATCTCTGAAAGTTAGTTCATGATAACAAAGTACCCTCATGAAAATTATCTTCTTTGTTAAAATTAAACTATGACTCAACTGGGATAACTCAAGGGTTTCTTGCTTATTTATAAAATGAGTACTTATGATTATTTGAGGATGCTCTTGGGCCTGTATCTATTTGATGGCACTAATGGAAAAAAGATTATTTAGCCAAATAAAAAGTTTCTACAAAAAAGGAGAATATGGTGGTGGTGAACTATACATACACCAAGAGGAAGGCTGGAAGTTTAAACTATGTAACTTCAGAATAACAGTTGAGAAGCACAGAACACACAAAAACAAAGTGTTTTCTAACAGTAACTTTTCTGGTTACTTTTAACAAGTTAAAGGCTTTTTTGTTTGTTTACAATCTGGCAGTTTATATGATGTTCTGATCAAAACAGGGCCTTGACTCAGTGACTTCTTGAAACATCATGAAAATATTTAGTATTAGTCTATGAAAGACTGTGGACTAGACAGTTACTTTTGACATCTTCTAAGTTCACACATAAAAATTATTGAACAAACATCAAAAGACAAGAAAAAAAAGAGACAGAACATTTATTTTAAGGTCTTGGTAAGTTTTCGATACCTACCCTGGACTTTGAGTTACCCATTCCCATTTCTATATCCTTCTGAAGCCTTCTCCTTCTGCATTTGGGGAAGTTAATGATTCGCATGATGAAATAAACAAATGATTTTGGACTAGGAACTAGACTGAAGGGTGGAGGTAATGTTTTTCCATCATCAAAATAGGATAACCAAAGTTTTGAACGAGCAAACTTCCATTCTACATCGCTGTCATCCTGTGTCACAAAACAGAAAAAACCTAATTTTAAAAGCTAAATATTCTAGTAACTGATGCTAATAGGTTTTTTACAATGAATCTAAGTTATGTTTTTGACATAGGTAACTTATACACATTTATCTACATATATTCTATAGACCTACATAATATTCTCATTTTTCAAATAAAAGATTCTCATTCTCTTTCATATGCCTCTACCTGTACCCACTGAAATTTAACCAGAACTTCCTGTCTACCATCCAAAAACAAGGCAAAAAGACAAGAAAAATAGAGTGCCAAGGAAGGATAAAAAGATTAATTCCTCCCTCTGTCCCCCACCCAGTCAATTCTGCATGTTTGACAATAGTTGCCTATTTCCCATCCTCCTTCCTCACCTATACCTATCCGAGCCAGGCTGTAGACACAGCATATTATATTTCAAGGGCAAGGGGAAAAAATGATTCTCAGATGAATTGCTTTTTGGTATTTCTGTGTTTACCATATGTCCCCAAATGTCACATAAGCCCCTGAGTAGCCTGATCCTGTCTTACATTTCCTTTCATTCTCTGTGCTGCCCACAGTGATGGAGATAACCACCCTAACTGATAGGAGAAATGAAGGGAAGGGGGTTCGTACTAGGAGGAAGCTGCCTCTCTCAGTTCACACAGCCTAGAAGGCCATTAGGACCAAAACTTCTACTTTGAGGACACTATATATTATGAGTTTCTAAAACATACATAGAGATTTGGTGGAGTTAACAAACCACAAAGCACTAAAAAGACACTGAACACTAAAGTGAAGGACATAAGAAAACATATATACAACAGTGAAGAGAGGTACCAAACCCAGCCCAATCCAAAACCAAGAATCAAGAGATTTCTAGAATACTCAAAATTTTGACTGGATAAAGAACACCATTAGTGTTTGCCAAACATCTGGTCATTCTACCAGGTAGAATGGTGGGCTGGCTAATTGAAAAGAGAGTAATTTCCTTAGGGCCAATACTTTTTCTAGCCACTTATTTCAAAACTTCTGAAGTATACCCTGAGAGAAGGCAGAGCAGCAATAAATTCATGGGGAACCCTGCTGTGCACCTAGAAGACACCAGAATGTGGATAGCTATCTATCCAGGTAGAAAACACAGGGAAAGGCCCAGGCTCTGTGTGGATATGAGCCTCTTTGTTACATGAGCTGGAGCTCAGCCATAGGGTACAGAAGCAGATGTATACTATCAGAATAGGATGACAAGGATAGACACTATGGATAGAAAACAGATTTACCTCAATTTCTTGATATGAGCTATTAATCATAGCAATTAGCATGTTGAGTAAAACGACCACCATAGTTACGTTGTATATTCCATAAAGAACGTATCCAATATTTTCTATGAATTTGTGATCATATTTGAGCACAACAGAAGTCACTTCAGACAACCCAAATATTGACCAAAATAAAGTCTTGAAACTTTCTTCTACACTGTTGAAAAAATAAGGTAAAAAGTAAGTAAGTTAACAGTTTTCAATATCTAAGAGTGAAAAGTAAAAAACAAGTTAGGGTCTAATTACTGTACAGGTGTAAAATGCCACCATAATATACTCCAAGAGTATAACCACTCTGTTATGACATTTCATAGAAAAATTATTCTCTCAGGTTTTCAGGAACTGGTGATTAAACGGTGCCAATGCCTAGCTTTTCTGAAGTTATCATCAAGTGAAAATTCTCTGAACTCCACAGGAGAAAGCTGAAGTCAAGTCACAATAACCATTCCTTTCTCCTACAAAAAGGGGAATTTGCTGTTTGATTTTGTATGTGACTTAGAAATTTAAATCAGGTTTTCTGTAGTAGAACAGGGTTGGGATTAAAATTATATAACCAATTTTTTAAAAGTATGTAAAAACATATTCCTTGCAGCATCATTTGCAGTAGGGAAGAATGAAAGTAATCTAAATACCCATCAATAGGGGACAGGCTAAATAATTCTGGTATATCCATATGATGGAATGCTATGCAGCCACTGTGGGAAAATGAGACAGATCGAGCTTTGTGTGTTTATATAAAATTATATCAAAGATATACTAAATGAAAAAATAAGATATAGGAAGTGTGAAATATTCTATAATTTAAATAAAAAAGAAAGGCATACAAATACTTATATTCTTTTTTATATAAAAAATATCTCTGAAAATATTCAAAAATAACCATTGCCTCTGGGAACTAAGGAGAAGTAAGAGACTGTGCCAAGGGTAGGGAGAAGGACAGGCATTTCCCTGTAGACGCCTCTCTATTTAAATTTTTTATCACAGGAATATATTACCTACCTAGAAATACTTAACTGGAAATGAAGAGGAGGCAACAGAACGAAAGACTCCTGTTCTTTTCCCTTAATTTATATAATGTACTTCCCGATTCTTCTACCACAACAAATAGCACTTAGACCCTCACCAGACTAATTACCTAGTTTTGTCCCTTAATTAAATGATATTTGGCAACATGTATTTGGGTGGTTTTGTCACAGAACCAAATTGTAATCACTGGTGAACTAAATTAATAATAATTAAATTAAAGATTTACACACATAAAATTCCATTACACCTTCAAAAGTAAGTCTTTTTCTTTCTCAGAGAAAGATTTGTGAAAAAGTACGTTTTAAGTTTGTTATAACATCCTAAATAACAACGAATTTTATAGATTTGTAGGTTTTAGTACTAGTTTATTCATTCACTCATAAAACAAATATTAACAGAGCATCTATTATGTTCTAGAAATTTTGCTACACCCTGAGGATGGAGGGCTGAATAGAACTCTATTCCTGTATAGTTACTCTCTATTACGAAACATTTGGCTGTGTGATGTTATGGCATAGATGCTGACAGGAGAGTAAGAAAAACCATAACCTTTTTGTTCCTGCCATTTATTTGACTGTGTCACAAAATTCTCCTGCACCTTCCTCTTGCTCCTTTGCAAACCTTGCTGCCCCTCGCTTCTCTTCAAATCTATATGGAGTGCATGTGTGGGAAGAGGGGGATAGTAAAAAAGGAAAGGACACTGGCAGTTCTGAGCTCCTACTGTGGGCAAGAGGCTTTATATAACTCACCTTACATAATTGTCACAATGACCTTATTTAAACTTTATTGTGCTTATTTTAAAAATAAGGAAACTGACACTGAGAAATGTTCAGGAACTTAACCAAAAGCCACAGCTAGAAAACAGCAGAGACTGCATTCAAATCCAGGTCTGCATGATTTTCAGCCTGTGTCCTTTCTATTACATTGTATGGTCACATCCCTAGAAAAAACACTGAAGAAAATAGAATGTATAAAATGAGTTACCATAGAGTTAAAAGGAAAATGGGGGCAGGGGTCACACTGTGTGCAAGATCTCTTTGTCATTTCCCTGCTGGGTTCAAAACAGGTTTTTTTCTTCATTACAATAAAGCGAGTTTCAAATCTCTTTCACCTCCAAGACCTGTTCTATATTAACTATTAAAAAATTCATTTTAGAACAATTGAGATGTCTACAAGGGCTTGATATTCTACTGTGGTCTATAGAGTACTTACTGAGTGTATAGTTTGTTTCCAGTAGTGGCATTACTGGGAACAAAGGCAGAGCAGGAAGGGTTTAGGACCTCCCCACCTGGAAGAACTGCAGTACACAGCAGAGGCCCTATGTCCATGACAACCGAACACCACCGGGTGAGAACAGATCTCGCAATCTGGGTGTCTCCATGCTGAAGGAACTTAAAGGGAAAATGACTAAGGAAACTTGATCAAGGAAGACTTCATGGAAGAGGTGAGTCTCCAGTGCAGAAACCAGTATGGCCAAAGGAAGAAACCGGTATTATCATGATAGTGGGCTATAAAATGTTTAGCTATAATTTCCTCTTACTCGACTCCCTGTACTGATCAATGAATATATTAAAATAAAAGCTGATGCTTCCTTTTTGAAAGAAGAGTATTGGCTATAAAATGATGAAACTAATTTTAATGTTATACATAATGCAAGAGACACCCAGTATTATAAATCTGTTATCCTGTTTTCTTAATATAGCCAGTTTTGTCTAGGGTTTTTCCAAATTCTGACCCATTCTGTGGTCAAACTCTCACTAAGCTCAGAGATGAGCCTTCAGAGCAATGTAATCACACACAAGCACTAACTGTTTTTGATGGATTATTTTCTGTGCTTAAAAACATCTTTATTACAATCACAGAAATTTTTCCTTTGTTTTCTGTAGATTGGTTAGAATTTCTCTTTCCTTTATAAAAGATGTTTTACTTACGTGGTAAAAGCAGCATTTACTTTAGCCCCAAGGTAGTAAGAATAAAGTATGAACATGCCAATCATAAAGGCAAAAAACACCATAATAAAGAGGACCATGAACTTGAATATGTCCTTTACAGTCCTTCCAAGAGAGATCTGCAGGGGGCCAAAGCTCTCATTTGCAGGGAGGATGTATGCAATCCGAGAGAAGCTGAGCACAACAGCTATGGCATAAAGGCCTTCAGATATAATCTGAGGGTCAGAAGGGAGCCATTTATCTCTAGCTAGAAAAAAAGAGAGAAAGAGATTAAAAATGGAGCTTTCTATTCATTGTCAACTATGCAAAGCAAATACCTTAAATAGGATCTATCTTGTAGGTAGGTGGTTACCATCTCAGTTGAAACTACTCTAGATTTAATTAACTGTCCAGGGATTATTTTCATCTTCAACCAGAAACGTAAACTCTATATTACTTTCAATGGAGGGTACACTATTATAAAGATACTAAGCTGACTTCACATTGAGCAGAAACAGAATAAAATACAAAACGTGAAGAGGTTAAAACACGTCATTAGACACAGACTGTTTCCAGGATGACAAAACAACTGACTTGACTGATTTGTCCCTTTAGTTATTAAATTTATTGACCAGTTATTTTGTCATCCTATAGGCACAGCTGGAGTGTAACTTCTTTCCCATATTTTGTGGGAAAATTAGTTCATCCAATAGTTTATGCAAATAAAATATTTCGAGGAGTGAGAATGTCACTGAATCACAATGGTGCTGACAATATGATATCTCAGCAATATAACTTGTCCCTGAAAAATGTAAAATGCCACTGAAGTAAAAGAATTTTGGATACAGATTCAGAATGAGGACCCCTAAAAACCCTTTCAAGGTCACTTATTAAGTCTGCCGCAGACCTGTCAGGTCAATGAAATATTATGTGGTTAATTTTGTACAAACTGAGTCACTCCCAAAAGAATGGATGTATTGCAGACATCTGCAATAACAACAAAACTTAACATTTATTGATCAGTTCAGCCACTGTGGAAAGCACTTTGAAGATTTCTCAAAGAACTTAAAATAGAACTACCATTCAACCCAGCGATTCCATTAGTGGGTATATATCCAAAATAAAACATATTGTTTTACCAAAAGACATATGCACTTGCATCTTCATTGCAACACTATTCACAATAGCTAAGATACGGAATCAACCTAGGTGCTCATCAACAGTGGATTGGATAAAGAAAATGTGGTACATATACTTCATGGAATACTATGCAACTACAAAAAAGAATAAAAATCATGTCCTTTGCAGCAACATGAATGCAGCTGGAGGCCATTATCCTAAGTGAATTAATGCAGGAATAGAAAACCAAATACTGCAGGTTTTCACTTATAAGTGGAAGCTAAACAGTGGGTATTCATGGACATAAACATAGCAGCAATGAAACTGGAAACTACTAGACGGAGGAGGAAAGGGTTGAAAAACATCTATTAGGTATATGCTCAGTACCCGGGTAATGAGGCCATTCCTAGCTCCAAACCTCAGAATCATGCAATATACTCAGGTAACAAACCTGCACATGTACCCTCTGAATATAAAATAAAAGTTTAAAAAATTAACATTTCTTGACTAATATGTGTCAAACACTGCTTTCAATGATCCTATGGATTTGATATTATTATCCTCTTTTAGAGATGCAGAAACCAGACTTAGAAAGGTTAAAAACTTGATCAAAACAATACATATAGAAGATAGCGAAGCCTGAATCCATCCCTTCCAGACAACAGCCACTAAATATACATGAATAAATTTAAATAAATAGGTTATGAAATAGTCAAGATATATAAAATGCAATCTAAAATTAATTCTTTAATTACAAATGGTGATCATTTGCTCATTTGAACAAGTCTCCTTAGTATATAAAAATCTTTGCTTGCTGAGAATAACAGAGGTGCTTAATTACATCTTACATTTTGGAGCGGAAGTCCAGCCTTCAATAACGTTTACATGCTACTTGTACTCATCACAATGTGCCCTAATTACACCCAAAAAAATTATTCTTCACAACCAGATCACAGTTAAACTCTGTGCCTGAGTTCCCCTACCTGTAAGATGAAGATTAGACAGCACTTTCTAAAGTCTTTTCCAGATTTCAGATTTTACAACTATATACAAATTTGCTAGCTGTGGCTCCTCAATTTGGCCTCAAGAGAAGGGAAGCTAACATTACTTACCATTGGTTTGTACGGGGGAAGGAAGGCATCAATGTTCTTTCACACTGGGTGTCAGCTGAGGTCTCACTGCTCTTCACAATATAGAGATATTTGACATGAACCCCATTCTATGACATGTGAGCAGGACAACATCCTCCCCCAACATTTCTGCTGGTTCTCCAGAGCTTACATTCTCGTGGTCACTTTAGGACCTACTTCCTGCCTCTGCTGAATTACTGTTCACTTTGCCTGTAGAGCAGTTTGGCAACTTTTATTATCTATCTCCTGCTCTCGGGGACTTATCTTTCACATCAAGCAGTTTATCAAACTATTTTTTCCCTAATTAAGACAGTCTCCCAATAGTAATTATTTTATAGGCTTAAAGGTAATTTTCTTCCACCTTGTAACATTGTCTTTTTATAGCTATGAAAACTGAGGCACAGTGAAGCAAGTTGACTTGAACAAGTTTACACAGTAAAGGGGGTCAGAGCCTTGAAATGAATCCAGTTTTGTAGGTTCCAAAGTTCATGATTTCTCCACTGTCCATAAATATTCAATATACCTCTTATACTAAACATACTCTCATTGGCATTTCCTTCCAAAATGTGGTTCCAATACCTTTCCTGAAACATAAGGAGACCCTGAAGCTAATAACTTACCATAAGTGAAATACTGTATCTCTGGTGGGAGTGTCACTTCACTGAGGTCGCTCTCTTGGACATAACTGTCCACATACTGTTGTGCCTTTGTTGCCTGAAGGAAAGCTAGGAATCTGGCTGTGAAAGCAGCAATGAAGATGGAGAGCATCCCAAAATCCAGCACATTCCACAACTGCAAAATGTATTCCCTAGGTCCTTCCAGCCAGAGCTCTTTACACTCAGACCACATCATTCCTGTCACAACAAATACAGAAGGTGCAGGTCAGATTTTACAGGCTAGGCCGAGAAGCCATTACTGTGTCCACCACCAGGCCACAGGTATCTCTAAAATACCCTACACATCAAGCACAGTACTAGGCATCACAAAGCATTGACTGACTGACTGTATGGTCACTGAGGCCCTGTGCGGAGTTAAATGGAAGAAGCTCCTGCTAAGAAAATAATTCACCCCACAACACTAGAATTTGGAGAAGCAGTCTACATGTGGCACCAGAAACGTCTCTATTGATGTAGAGGAGGTAGTGGAGCGCGGTGAGGAGAAGGAAGAAGGAAAGAAAATAAGCAAGGAAGGTTCTTCAAGTTGTCCTATAAGACTTTTGGGGAAGAAAATATGTTCTATATAATCACAATGGTTAGTTATCAAACTGTAGTGATTATTGGAGAAATAAGTCCCCAAGATTTTTAACAAGAAGAACGGTTTACCAATAATACTCATATCACACTCTTATCCCCTCTTCTCATTTCCATGTCATGCTAAAAAGTGAGCAACATTATTTGAAAAAGACGAAACCCTTAAGTGAGAGGCCCTAGGACATTCTGAAGAAACTGAAAGCAGAAAATGCCATTCTGGGACAAGAGGACAAAATAGTACAATTTAACAACTTAACAAATTGTCCTGACTACATGAAGGGAAAATATTGTAGAATTTTTAAAAAGTTAATGGCTTAAAAGAAAATGTATAAAATAATTACTTGACCTAGGCTGAGGCCACAGGAGTGAATGGGAGGAAGAACTAACCTACTAACTCAGAAAATAGGAAGACATCAAGACTCACACTGGATAAAACAGATACAAAAATGACTTCAGATTAATCAGAAATAAACAACCTGGTTCCAATCTCCATTTCTTAGCAGAGAGCACAACAAATTCTTTTCCTCACATAACTTCAAATTCTTATTTTAACACAGCTATTCAAAATGGGTTATTGTAAGATGAAATAGGTTGGCACAAAAGTAACTGAAGTTTTTGTCATTTTAAAAATAGTAAAAGCCACAGTTACTTTTGCACTCAACCTAATAACAAACATTCTGAAAATGAAAACTCTCCTAAAATCTCTGGCACTAAACAACAAAGAAAGTATTTGTCATCAGTTGATAGTCATTGGGTTATTTCACAAGTATTTCAATTAAATAATTGATCACAGTGAGTCACATTTTAAAACTTACATCTTGTTCAATAATTGAAATTAGATTTCTGAAACATGGTATATTTGTAATTAGGGTCGTGTTATACATAAAAAATTTTATTTAGTGTTAGGGGACACCTTTTAGCATTACCTAGCTAGAAAATTATTTGATTATTGTGCTATTTAGCTTATCTTGCAATAGTGATGTTGTCACCATATAAGACATAACAACATTTTTTTTCAATAGAAAATGGCGATTATTTCTATAATTACTTTTTGGTAGAATAAATAAAAGGCTTACCAAGAACCCAGACCATAATTAGCATTTCAGTCCATGTAAACTGGGTGGTTTTCACCCTGAAGATCTGTTTGGGATAGTCAATAACCGTGATATTGGGCAGCGTGGTGATGCCTTCAAACCTGTCTGAGGCATTGAACACAAGCAGGCCCAGGAAGATGATGAAAGAAGCTGCGTGTGCTACAAACTTCATAAAAGGGCTTCGCAGAATTTTCCCCAGCTGCAACAAAACAAAGAGGAAAAGTTTGCTTCAGAAAATCTGGCTTTCACTTGTGGAGATTACAATATAGGATTAAAAAAAAAAATTGATGAAAGAAGAACACTCATAATTCTGCTTCTGTTTCCAAAAAGCTCTACATTATGAAAAATATTCTTTTAAAGGGGGATGCTTCCTTCAAAAATAATTTAATAAGTCTTCAAAATTCATTGTTGCTAAATGTCCAATTTGTCTTACGGTAGACTGAATTCATAGATGCACTTCTGGAAATCACAGGGCCTATACCGGTTCTTGCTTTTATTTTTACACAAAAGAATATGCAAAGTCCAGATTTTTAGGGTCTAGAAAAAGAAACTTCAACTTTGTATTGTGTAATTCTTTATTGCTTTGTAACTGAGATGTTATGAGGTTCTCATAGACTCATATAAGACATTAAAAACCCTTTGAAGATTAAAAAAATTACTACTACAGAAGTAAATTTTAGTTCTCATTTCTAAATATTCCAAATCAAGTTATACCTGGTATGCTATTAAAAAAAGGCAGAAAATATTAGAACTAAGATGAATATTGCATCTGTTACTGCCTTAATAAGAAGAGGGAGATACACAATAATTAAAACCTCTAAGTAGGTTAACTTAATTGAAAGTAATCTCTGACTTGGATAATCATGTAAATGGTACAAAAGGACTTCCAAAGTTCAGTTTATAATTATTTTAAGGTGACTCCTTTAAAATCCCCTATGATATAATGTCCTTAAAAGTCCCATGTTCCTGTGAAAATGAAAAACAATTCCTCCTGTCCCAAGGGCCTCCATAGTCTAAGAATTAGGTACATTTGGTAGATTCATCAAGTATGTTCCTTTCTACACTCTCAGACCCTGCTTTTTAACTCCGTCTGTGACCTTATAAAGTACTGAGGTTCACATTTAAAGGACTGTAACTCCGAACAAATGTTTTTGTAGGTCTAGAACCTTAATGTGATGTCAATAAATGATGAAAGAGATGGCAGGTATTTTTGGGATTGAACATGAATGCACACAAAAGTCACATTTTCCATGTCAGACACAGAAAAATAAACAACACATTTACATATCACTTTGTTACACAGTTGCAAAAAGGGCACGTTTGGGGGTAGCTTATCCATAGCACATAGAAATTTCTTGGGAATTATCAAGCCTGTTTCTCCTAAAGGTCAATCTCTTAGAACTTTAAATAACATGAAAAGAAAGCAGAATGCAAATCTCAAAAATGCGATATACATGGAAAATTCTTACTATGTTGCCTTTTTGTCATAAGATACGTGGTATACGGCAGCTCTAAACATGGGCTCTGGGAATGGCTTAACTTCCATGTTTCCCTTCTCTGCAGACCACGCCACACTGTTAGTTGTACTTGTAAAAGTGTAGGGAGAAAAGAAGTGGACTCCAAGATGGTTACTTCAAACCTGATGGAATGTTTTAACTGATTAAGTTCCCCTAAGAGACAAACACTTCTAAACCCGAACATTCCAACTCATTTCCTTCAGAAAGGAAAATTATTTGGGTAAGATATGATTTTCGTTTTATTGCATGCCCTCTCATATTATTTATAGTTTTTCATCTTTAGTGTTTACGTATTTGAAGAATCTTAAAGTAATTTTCCATGACATGTAACAAAAGAACTTGGCTGAGTCATCAAATACGATCAAAATGACAAACGTTCTGCCTTCACGTGCATGGGCAACTCAATGATGAAGTGAGATGGATGAACGTTCTCACACGTATATGGTGTTTGCAGAGCAGAACTCTGCTGGGGTAGATTGCTGAGCCAGAGAGATGACAGATTTCCAGGATCACTTGTAAGTGCCCTTGACTCATTTTGCCTTGAAACTACCTCTGATTTAAACAAAACCAAATTTCAGAATGTAAAAACAGGATTAAAGGATCTCAGCGCAGCTCCTTCTCTCTGGCAGTGCCCATAACTGGCATGAATAGTATTCCTTTCCGCATCTTGCTAGGGGATCTCTTGGGCACAACTAAATTGATTTTACATTGGAAAGTTGAGAGGAGAATAAAGGTACTAACCAAAATGATCCAAGCAAAAACAATAAACAATCTTAAAAAACTTAAAATCCCTGAACCTAAATCCTACATTTTTAAGAACTGTCTGAATTAACACAGGGCTAGGGGAACCTGACATGCATTTTCTTGAAGACTTTGGATACCACCACTGTTCTCAACTGTGCTTCACACACTCAACCTTGGATTTCTTCTGACAGGTCCAAATGGGTTGCCCTTCTAGTTCCCAGTGTAACTGCTTCTTGGTACTACTGCTGTAGTCCTCTCCATTCCCCAGTCTGTTCACAGGCCAACCCAGCTGACACTCTACTTATTAAGCTGTCAATAAAATCAGTACAAGTGCTACTTCATTCAAGCACCTTTTCCTTCTGTCTACCATGAGGATTTTATCTGAAAAGAGCCTAAGTACTGTATGCCTGCAAATGTGATCTATCCCACTGGTACCGAATCCTTTTTCATCCCTTATTTGAATTGATCCAGTAATTAAAAAAGAGAATTTGTGTTCTTGAGTCAATTAACATTCAGGGTAAAACTGATAAGAGTCTTAAGCATGAAGCTTTTTCTTTTTTTATCCTAAAGAGACACAGTACACCACTAGAGAGGAAATAGATGTAGAAAGCGAGTACCCTGCTGCAAGGTGCAATCCAGTAGCCGATAGCAAGGAATGGAAGGCCCAGGGCCACGACCAGCACAACGAGACACTTGATCGCTATGGTCTGCTCCCTTAGGCCTGAGAGGTTCTCATACCAGATTGTCAAGAGCTGCTGCTGGCAGTTGGGATGAGCCACAAACTGTTGGGAGAGAGAGAGTTTGAGAAGGGGAAAGAAAGGTAAGTTACCATACCATTGTCAGTAGTTCAACTATTAAATACACGTGCATCCTAAAGACATTAAAGCATATTTTTCTAGCATATTGGTACTGGAAGGTTCTGGTAATATTCTTCTTTGCTTTCCCTCCATTTTTCAAAATTATTTCAGAACTAATAGAAGAACTAGAATGGAAATGAGAGGATAAAATTGGTGGTGTCCTTAATCATAGTTCTTTTTGATAGAAACCCTCCATGATTCACAGATTTCTCTGTGGAATCTGGGTGACATCTGGCTTCTTTTGTAAAAATGTGTCCCATCTTGTGGTTGGCCAGCTTACTTGCATTCAGTTCAAAATGGAAAAGAAAAGAAGTTACTTGGTTTATTGTAGACTATAGCTAAAAGAGAAATGTGTGAAGTTTCGTGAGCAACCCCTAAAATGCTACATATAAAAAAAAATATGCATGATGCGCCCTTTGTGTAATGATGTACTATTACTGCAAATCTGTAAAAGGTCTGAAAAATAATCAATGAACCTGCAAATATTATGCTGGGTCTACACATGCACTTCTTCCGGGAACTGACATCAAATGTCACTTCCCTCCTGTCCTCTTTTTTATCGCTTCCTTTATCAAAAGGTCAAAATATCACGACTATTTATCTTCAGCAGTTCTTTAATAAATAAAATTCTAATCAGGAAAAATGAGAAAATTATACTTATTTCAGCCCAGCCATTTGATTTTTTCCCATTTGATTTTGTTAAGTTATCTGCCTGCATCATTTAGAGGGACTGGGATTTCTTTAAAGCCCTGTCATTATTCAAGAAGCAGAATGTATTTGTAGTCAGGCCCATGTAAAGGTCCTTATGCCAAAATCTGCCCATTTGTAGCCAGATATGCCTTTTTATGAATGGCCATATGTTCTTTGTCCAAGCTCAGGAATTCAAAAATCAACTATGAGTGACAACATATTTTTTAAAGGAGTTCTTAGTAACACAAAAATCAAGGTATCACTGTCTTCTAAAAAATAGAATAAACAGTAATAATGAACCTGTTAAGAAACACCCATGAAATGTTTTTGGGAACTGAGAAACAAAGAAAGTAGCTGCAGTTCCTACTTGTCAAAAGGTTCCTCTTTAATCAAGTTGTAGTTAATGATCCTGATGATTCTTAGTAACTCCAGGCAATTCCTAGAGTTATTAATATTTGGCTCTTTATCAAAGCCCACCTACAAGGAAACGCACAGGTATCCACTGACTGGTGCATAGTTTCCCATGAACAATTTTAATTAAAAAAGAAAGTCTCATCTCCCAGGACAGGTGATGGAGGTGCAATTTCCCCCAAATCCCTGCTTTTGCCCCCAGAGTGCACCCAGTGGAGAAGCCCACTGATGGCTGTACTGGCAGCTGCCTCTGCACCACCATACATGGGAACTCAATGACCCACGGACAGAGGTGGTGAGAATAAATTTACGAACATTAGATTTGAGATAATTAACTGAGTTATCATGTTGAAATTCTAAGCCTCAGTGTGATGGGTATTAGAAAGCTAGGCTTTCGGGAGGTAATTAGATCATGAGGGAGGAGCCTTCATGAATGGGATTGGTGCCCTGACAGGAAGAGGTGGGAGAGCTTGCTCTCTTTCCACCATGTGAGGATACTATGAGAAGTCAGCAGTGTGCAACCCAGAGGAGAGCCCTCACCAGATCTTCACCATGCTGGCATCCTGATTTTGGATTTCCAGCCTCCAGAACTGTAAGAAATAATTTTTTTTTTTTTTTTTGAGATGGAGTTTCGCTCTTGTTGCCCAGGGCTGGAGTGCAATGGCACAATCTTGTCTCACCGCAACCTCCGCCTCCCAGGTTCAAGCGATTCTCCTACCTCAGCCTCCTGAGTAGCTGAGATTACAGGTATGTGCAACCATGCCTGGCTAATTTTTTGTATTTTTAGTAGAGACGGGGTTTCTCCATGGCAGTCAGGCTGGTCTCGAACTCTCAACCTCATGTGATCCGCCCGCCTTAGCCTCTCAAAGTGCTGGGATTACAGGCATGAGCCACTGCACCTGGCCGAGAAATAAATTTCTGTTGTTTATAAACCACCTAGCCTATGGTACTTAGTTACAGCAGCCTGAACTAAGAAGCATATTTTATCATGCGAGTTCCTTTCCATTCAGTTTTCAAAATCCCAGGTCCTGATTTTCAGTAGCTGCTAGTTGCTAAGGATATATTAGGTCTTCTCTCCAAACCCAAGATTTTGTCACTTTTCAAAGGTTGTAATTTTGAAAACAGCATTTCACAGACCAATGCAATCATTATTTGAACTCATGAATATAATCAAAGTTGAGGCTTCCTGGGTATATGTGACAACTTCCTAGGATTCTTGTTGAGAACTTCTCCAAACTTCCACTTCTGCCCCTGTACTGTATTTAGATCATTTCCTTCTTGCTTCACCTCTCCCTCTATGGTCCCTAATGTCCTTTATTCATTCATTCATTTATTCACTCATCAAAATGTCTTAAGCCCCTCCTATGATCCAGGCAGGGGCAGTATGATCCAGATCCAGGCAGTATATTGGGCAAGTATATTGGTACAAGAAGATAAAAATGGAAGCATCAGAGTTGAATTAAGTGATAAGAGGTCATTGTTCTAGGGTACACAGTAAGCTTTGAATAGATACAAAATAAGCTATTATAACTGAGGCTTCAACTCATATGCTTGTCAAGATGCCTAATCAGAATTTAAAATAGTCTTAATTTGAATGTTGGTACAATCATCTTGATATTTGAAGGATCTGCATTTGAGGGAAGTTAGACATATATAAATAAAAGGCATCCCTGATGACTGCAGCCAGGCTAAGCTTGGGACAGGTAATGGTTCATTCAGGGTAAACTACAGGTGGAATATATAATGTCATCAAATCAGATTACCACTTAGGATATCAACAATGCAGTTTTTGGACCAAGGGTTTCTGTAGGAAACAAAATTCCCATGAAGTTAGGAGACAGGAAGACATGTGTCTATATGGATTTGATGGACAAATTTCCCTTTTGTGAGTATCTGGTTAGCTATCATTTGAATGTGTCTCCTCCAAAATTTAGGTGCTGTCAATGTGGTAGAGTTAACAGGTGGAGCCTTCAAGAGGTGATTAGGCCATGAGGGCTGCTCCCTTGTCAATGGTATTAAGACACTTATAAAAAAGGTTTTATGCAGCATTCAACTAGCTTGCTCTTCTACTCTTCTGCCATGTGAGGACATAGTGTTCCTCCCCTCTAGAGGATGCAGCCCTCACCAGACTACCAAACCCACTGTTGCCTTGATCTTGGACTTCCCAGCCTCCAGAACTATGAGACAAGAAAGTTTTGTTCGTATAAGTCTCTCCATCTCAGGCATTCTATTAAAACAACACAAGTGGACTAAGGCACTGGTCGTTCTTAGGTTTTAAACTCTTGAGGACAGAAATATTAATGTTATAGCGTATCTCCCTTTCCTACTCCTTGTCCTTGGACTAATTTTTAAATTTGAAGATGTGCTTTATGGCATTAATTACATATTTATAAAGATTGCACAGTTTCAAAGACTTGATGGACTCAATCCTTTCCATATGGCATATATGTGATGGTCAGTCTTTGACTTGATGTAACTTGTACAACAGTGCAAACCCTTACTCTACATTAAGTAGTAACCAAAATTGTGGTCTTTGCATTTTGCCTGTTACACTTTAAAATTCAGCTTAACGGGTCTATCTACTATGCTACTAATTCTACTCTTTTTTTTTTTTTGAGATAATTATACACCACTTCATGGATTCTGTTGATTTCATTTAATCCACACAAACAGATTTTCCTCCAATGATTTAAAATCCTAATGCGAGTACACAAGGAGCATTTCAAAAAAGAAAGTAAAGTCAGTACAATAATAGCAAGCGAAGGCAAAAAAGCTAATCCCTTTAGGAGATGAGTTTTGGTCTTTTCAATGACTTCGAAATAGGGCAGTGACCTTTATACCTGAAAAGTGTTTTACCTCCTGAAAAATCTCCTTATGCCACTACACCAGTTACACCCAACAGGATAACATTTGTATTCTGTTTTCTAACTTCAGTGGACCAGCAAATTGAAGTTATCACAAAAATAATACCCTTATTTTGAGTTTTCTGATTTAAAGAGAGAATGCTTGACACAAGAAAATCTCAATCTTTCAATTGGATAACCAGCATTGAGAACAAATGAAATGGTTTTTTCTTGCCAAATGACTGATAGATTATAAACTGAACCACTGATCAGGGCAGGTTAGGGAAAACAATCAAATTTTAAATTTAAAAATTAATTAATGTTACACTGTTTTGCATCAAATCAGTCTTCACAAGAACTGTCTTCATGGGAATACTGTTGCGTAAAAACATGGTAAGAACTCTGGATTTGTTTTTAATGATACCGTTAGAGCCATAATTCATACAATTTAAAGGAAAATATTCTTGTAAATAAAAACTAGGCAATTCAACTTCTTTTTAAAACTCAATGAATTGTGAAATATAAACCCAAAACTTATATTGCAAAGGTTTTCTGGATTTTCAAACTTGCTGAGTGCAAAACGCTCTGTTATCTCTTGGTGCCTGGGGAAGACCAGGACAAGGGGCCACGCAGTACAGCACACAGGACTGTGCCAGCCAGCACACCCATTCCAAAGTCTCAGTGGCATATTTACAACTCTCTCTTTGCATTTCTTTAATTCTGGGCTTCCCCTGTATACTTTTTGCACAGAAAGTGGATACACAATGGATGCTTTTATCCTGTTTATACTGCTGCATGTTTCTTGTTAGGATGGCTTTTCTACATTTAAATCTAATCCTACTATGGAGGAAATATTAATAGGAGAACAGAAAGGAAGAATTCAGGAAATGTTCTCCTTCTCTATCTGAGAACCCAGTTTTCCAGATTCAGTGGTCTACCAAGCTCTAGTATCTTTTGTCAAAAACTTTCTCACAATAGACATAGCTCATGGTGAAGCAGGTAGAACTTTGGTTATTTCTATGGTGGGGAGTGGATTAATGTTCAGCTGCACATCACAGAGCAGGATAGAGGTACACTCAGAATTAGAACTCAAGACTTTTTGGAAGGGGCAAACAGTCCATTATTCTAATTAAACAAAATTAGTGTTTTTGCCTAAAAATTAATTTTCCTGTACCCATTTTCAGAAAATCAAATTTCATCTTCCAGTCTATTCCATTCTCTTTTCAAAGAATAATATAGGTATTTCTATAAATAGCAATAGTGTTTACTATCCTTCCAGCTTTATAATTTACCTTAGAGATCCCTTAAAAATGATTTTAGGCTGGACACAGTGGCTCACACCTGTAATCCTAGCACTCTGAGAGGCTGAGGTGAGCGGATTACTTGAGGTCAGGATTTTAAGACCAGCCTGGCCAACATGGTAAAACCCCATCTCTACTAAAAATACAAAAATTAGCCAGGCATGGTGATGGGCACCTGTAATCCCAGCTACTTGGGAGGCTGAGGCAGGAAAATTACTTGAACCTGGGAGGCGGAGGTTGCAGTGAGCTGAGATCTCACCACTGCACTCAAGTGTGGGTGACAGTGAGACTCCATCTCAAAAAAAAAAAAAAAAAAAAAAAAGATTTTAGGATGAATAATCTCCAAAATCCATTCCTTATTAGTAAAGATGCAGGCAGATGGTTGCTGTTTTACTATCAGCACTGAGAATTATAAATTTTTATTCTTTGTTAGCTTGAGACAAGGAAAATGGTATTTGTACATTAGTATACGTTTATCACTAGAAGGTCTGAAAATTTTAAATATGGATGTTAGTCATTTGAATTTTCTCTTCTGTGACATGCCTATTCAAACCTTGTGCTAATTTTTCTACAGGGCTCTGGATGTTTTCCTTACAAATTTGTTTGAGTTCTTGGGATATTATGAAGATCAATCTTTTGTGAGTTATAATAAAAAAAAATTTTCCCAGTTTGCCCTTCACTCTTTTGTTTATAATCTTTCTGATGTCATACAGAGGTTTTAAATTATATGTGACCAGATTATTTGTATTTTTGCTTTGAGATTTCTTTGCTTTTATATTAGAAAGTCCTTTCTGACATAAACATTAAATTCATGGTCAGATAGTTCCTATTCTGGTGTTTTATATATTCATTTACTGGATTAAGTATCATTGAGTTCTGTAAGGCCTGGGTTGAACTCATGCTTTGATTTCTGGGAAAGACCAGAGCTCTGGGAATCCTGAGTCCAGTTAGAAGACAACAGACTCGGAACCAAAGCTGGGAGTAGGTTGTGGGCAGTCGGTAGAAGAAAGACTTCCTGAGTCTCATATGCGGTCAATATGGCTTACCATTAGATAGGAATGGTTTCCTTGGTGGAATTATGGGTTGATTTGAATAAATATGAGTTTATTATGTTATCAGGGGGTAGGGGAGTCCATATAAAGTTACTTTGAAATCCCAATGACTTGCATATGGCCATAGTCTACCTCTGTGCCAGAGTGGGCAGGGTTTATGCATCATTATAACCCAAGATGTGGTTTTGCTTGGAGACTAGAAATGAGATGGTGGGAAAAGGAAGCAGCAGGAGTGGGTAGGGTGATATTTTTCCTCCTTGTGAGAGTGAAGACGGGTGAGTGTTGACTGAAAATGAAGGAAGCCTTTGAAAGGAAGAAAGAAAGGAGGAATTGGGGCTTTGCAAGCACTCTGGAATATAATTCTTATACACATTTATTATTCTAGAACAGAATTCTTACGTACATTTATTATTCTAGAATATAATTTTTACATACATTTATTGAGTGAGGATTCCAAATCAAAGACTTTACTCATTAATACTCCTTTTATAGCATAAAACAAACAAAACCAGGAAGGTTTGCAAAGTCCTGAATCTCCTTACAGTTCTAAATATTTTTTTTGGTTGCCTGATGGTTGACTGGTATCAATTTATTATTAACGACACCTCATACACTGTAACCTACATGCCAATTTATTTAAAGTTAACATGCAGGAAGAAAGAAACTCTGCAAGGCAGTTTAGTTGACAGAAGCACAAGTGTAGATGAGCTGTCTCTGCTCATATAACACTTTCAAAGCAATGATAAAAAACCAGTGACAACTGAAATCAATTCTCTCAGGTGTCAAAGAAAAGAGATACATATTGCAGGATGTGTGAATATATGTCCACAGAGTTTTCTGAAAAACAGTTTACTATCAATCTTGCTCAAAATTATCCTTTTCCCTCAATATATTAATAACTAAACCTCAACTAGCAAGAACGCTCTGAGAGGAGGGCAATTTAGCCAATTTAATTATCTTGTAACATACTTTCTTTGAAAAGTGGTTTTATTTCCATCTTTACTGAGAATCTTCACATTTGACTGTCTTATGAAATAGAGGAGAGATCTGCCATTAATGGTTGACCAAAATCTTGCAAATACTATGTGTATAAGTTTTCTACATTGTGGTAGCAGAATTATGTGTGTCAGAAGAGAGAAAGACAGACAGGAGGGGAGAGAGAAAGAGGAGAAAGAGACAGAGACAGAGTGAGAGAGATTTCCCCATCCTCGCTTGCTGCTAGGGTGCAAACATTGGCTTGGGTCCACTGATCAGAGGCATTTTGACCAGTGGAAAGAGCCATATGAAAACAGGCAGGATTCAGAGCATCCTCTCTGTGCTGATATGGGAGCAGCAGAGACAGAATTGTTCCATTTGGGCCACAGAAACTCCCTTAGCAGGTCAGCGCTGTGCCTGGTTCTGGGTGAGGTTTTTGGAAGCACAGCTTAGATAAGCTTGTTCCTGTAGCTCTTCTTAGGATTCTGTGAGCTTCCTCAATATCACTCACTAAATTCCTTCCTGCTTAAATAAATTCCTCTTACTAAGGACTTGATTCAGTACAAGGGGCATGAAATCTGTCTTTGATGACTGAGGATTAACTAGCTTAAGAGTCATCACTCTGGGTGTGAATTTTCATAATGTAGAAATGTTATTATTAATAGCTAATACTTATTGAGCAATCACGATGTACTACTGTGTGCTAATTACTTTACATGCATTATCTCATGCAATCCTTAAACAAATGAATAAGTAGGTACAACTATTGTCTTCACTTTACTAGTGAGCAGATGGAGGCCTGGATGGTTAGGTGACTTGCCCATGGTCACACAGGAGCACATGGTGGTGTCGGGACCTGAATCCTTACAGGTTGGCTCTAGTGCCTGTCCTCTTAAGCACCATGTCACACTGCAGAAAAGACAGAACACTTGTCTCTTTGTAAATTGATCAACTTTATAAAACCAGAGCTGATAACAGATTATTTCTTTGTGATTTATCAGTTTCTCTTAAAGTACAAAAATATCTGTTATATAACATGTATAAAGTATTGGATTCTGGATAACTGAGATGTTTATTATTGTGAAACATTATAACTACAATTTTTATGAATTATTTAAAAGCCCCATACAAGTTGGCAAATAGAAACACATAACCGTTTTTCTGCAGTAACCAGAGTAAAAAATCATAATTTTTATTTCTGGCACCTGCATGACCAACTCCATAGTTGTGTGACCTTAGACACGCCATTGAAGCTTGGCAATCCTCAGTTTCCTTGTAGAATAGAAACCCCATCATCTACTGACATATTTTGTAGATAAAATGAATAATAACAGACTTGCTGCAAGGATTCACATAAGAATGTAAAAGTGCCTTACAAAAACATATACAGGTAACAGCATTATTAATTGTATTGTAATTAACATTTTACAGAGTGCTTTTGCATATCATAACCCATTTAAATTCCACGAAAACCCTGAGATAGATAAGAGATATTATCCTCCTGGTACATGAGGGAACTGAAATTTACAAATTTATGACTTATTCAAGGTCCCACCATGGGTAAAAAGTAGAAAGGATCAGAAGCTACACATTTAACTTGCAACTTTACCCCCTACAAAAAAACCTTTCATCAATAGCATCTATTTTTTATTTTATTTTTTGAGACAAGGACTTGCTTGCTCTGTTGCCCAGGCTGGAGTGCAGTGGTGCTATCGTTGCTCACTGCAGCTACAAATCTCCTGGGCTCAAGTGATCCTCCCGCCTCAGCCTCCCAAGTAGCTGGAACTACAGGCACGTGCCACCATGCCTGGCTAATTTTTAAATTTTTAGTAGAGACAGGGTCTCGCTAAGTTGCCCAGCTGGTCTTGAACACCTGGCCTCAAGTGATCCTCCTGCTTTGGCCTCCCAAAGTGCTGGGATTACAGGCACATGCCATCATGCCCAGCTAATTTTGTTTATTTTTTGTAGACACGGTCTAACCATGTTGCCCAGCCTACTAGCATCTAGTCTTATTATTTTAATAATTTTCCTAGGATTATGGCATAGTTTGTATTACATGTTTATTCTAATATGGCACTAGATGAAAGTAGGCCCACTCACCTTTTTGACTTCATACTTAATGGCAAGTTTGACACGACTTAATGAAGCTTTGTGCCTGTGTACCTCCAGAGGTTCTGCTGACTCCAGATCTCCATTCAGAATGGCTTCTACCTCTTCTGAGTCTCGGCAGAGATCCAGCACACCCACTACAAAGTCTTTGCACTGCATGGAGAGCTTCCGATAGTCATTCTAAGAACAAGAGATTTAGTGTTTTAACACAAATAATTTGCTTTTATTCAATGGAAAGTGTTTGGGTGAATTAGAAAAAGGTATCCCTTCTTTTGGGGGTAGAAAGCTGCAGCCTACCTGGATGCAAGGCTTGTTGAACTGAATACAGGCTGGATTTGCACCCACCCAACCCCTTAGCCAGGTTTCCTTCTCCTGCAAACAGCCCAACCATCCGAGATAGTTCTGAAAATGGCATGATAATAATCTCACTTATATGTGGAATCTAAAAAAGTCAAACTCAGAGAATAGAAAAGTGGCTACCAGAGGCAGGGGGTGGGAGTAAGACGTAGGGTAAAGTAGAGATGAAATGAGGAGATACTGGTCAAAGTGAACAAAGTTTCATTTAGACAGGAGAAGTAAGTTTTTGAGATCTATCTGCACAGCACAGTGACTATAGCTTTAATACTATATTATATACTTCAAAATTGATGAGTAAATTTCAAATATCTCACTACCACAAAAAGTAATGTGAGGTGATAGATATGTTAATTAGCTTGATTTAATCATTTCACATTGTATACATCTATCGAAGCATCCCATGGTACCCCATAAATATATACAATAATTATTTGTCAATTAAAAATTTTAAAAAGCATTTACTCAAAAAATTGTATGCTGAAAGACCAAAGGATCAAAGAGTTTTCTCTCTTTCGTACAAACAATAGTTCTTGTAAAGTCAAAACAAGACCATTTCTACATTGGAAATTTTTCTATAATGGCCATTTTTCTAAAATGGCAATTTGATGTAGAAGATCAACTATATGTGATATGAAAGTTGTCAAAACTAAGTCAACTGTGTTAAAAACAACACAAAACAAAAAAACCCTGACTAATAGAGTCAGAGAAAGCCATGAAGGAAGGGTTCTCACACACAAAACTATCACAAGAGGGTGCAAAAACTATAACCTTGCATAAAGGCCATCGCGACCTTACACAAAAAATACCTCTGTGAGGACGTCTGCCCAGCAACTGCCTGTACAACTTTGGACTAGCTCTGCCTTTGTTATTGTTCCTGGAGCGTAGCCCTCCTCACTTTTCTTTTAAAAAACTTATCTTTCTTTACCTCCGTGAATACACAGAGTTTACCATGTCACTTGTATTTCCACTGCAATATTACATTCCCAGATAAATATGATTTTCTATTTTTTTTTTTTTTTTTTGAGATGGAGTCTTGCTCTGTCACCAGGCTGGAGCACAGTAGCACAATCTTGGCTCACTGCAACCTCTGCCTCAACCTCTCAAGTAGCTGGGATTACAGGCAGGTGACACCACACCCGGCTATTTTTTTGTATTTTCAGTAGAGATGGGGTTTCACCATATTGGCCAGGCTGGTCTTGAACTCCTGACCTCAAGTGATCTGCCCAGCTGGGCCTCCCAAAGTGCTGAGATTACAGGCGTGAGTCACTGCACCCGGCCTCATTTTCTTTTAGAGAACCTCTCTCTCTGTTATTTAGGTTGACAGTGAAAAATAACTTGTCCAGTTCATTATCCCTTGCCTTACTGGAGACATTGCTTCTCAAAGTGTAGTCCTCAGAACAGCAGCATCAGCAGCACCTGGGTATGTGTTAGAAATGCAAATTCTCAGACCCCAGCCCACATGTCCTGATTTAGAAACTGAAGTAGGGCCCAGCAATCTGTGTGTGTTTTCACACACCCTCCAGATGATTCTGATACATGTTATGTTTGAGAATAATTGGTTTAGAACGACTGTAGAGAGGTAGATGGATACCCACCTGTATACAGAGGGTTTTCTGTTTGTTTGTTTCTCTGAAGGGCATATTATTGTGCCCTGCAGAACTAGAAGAAGAGAAATATATCATTGTATGTAATGGAATTCTCAAGGGTTACAGAATTCAGTACCTGAGAGAAAAATTTCCAGGCCACTGGAACTAACACCTTGCTAAAAATAATCCATGAATCTTTAATTTCATTTGCATACTTATATACTGCTGTGGACTACTATAAGTAAGTCAGTTGGTAGCATTCCTTGTTGCCTTCTGAATGGAGCTTTGTTTCTAGTCCGTTTGTTCTAATGAAGGCGTCAATGACCATCTCCTGGGAAAGTGTCTCATTTTTGGAAACCCTAGTTCCACTTTATGACTTTCACTAAAATTCTAGCCTATTAGGAAGGCTAACTAGATAATAATCTAATGTGGAACACTTGAGGAAAACAGAATTCCCCACTGTAACATGTCCTGAGACACTGTAAGTGTCTATATAACTAAGTAATATTTGGCACAGTAGAATTACTGGGCTTCCAAAAATCATACTTAAATAAAAGACGTGAAGAATTCCAATTTTTTTCCTTTACATAATTAATGTGATTTGATGGGCAAAACCACGTCATCAGCTAAAATAAACAAGAAGAAGAGAGACTGTTTAAAGGCTACACAGATTAGAATAGTTTCCATTTCAGATATCAGAAATTCAGATAAAGAACAGTTACAGTTAATCCTTTTCCCCTCATAAGGGAACAGATAAAATGAATAAAACTTCAATCTTTAGTTTCCATTCAAGTTGGTACCATGCAACTGATAAAATTAATAAAATGTTCAGTCTCTGGTTTCTGTGCAGAGTGTCAGTTAAATATCCATCTGCTTTCCATTCCTGAAAGACTAATGAAATATTTTATTATAGCATCCAGAAGAAGTATTAAATCCATGCCCGTTTCCATATAAAGCTTCCCTTTTAATACGATTTTTTTAGATGAAATTTCCTCATGTTATTCTTCAGTTCAGACTGTTCTGTAAGATTTGGTACAACATAGGGTGGTCATTTCTCCATTGATCAGAAATAGAAAGAGGCTACTTTCCATGCTTTGAAGAAAACTTAGTACCCACATCTGCAGTAATGCCTAAATAATAACTCATTACCTATAAAATTATAGTCTATAAACTGTTTAGTTTTAAGGAAAGCTTTTTTTCACATCCACTGAAAGATCAGTAAATAATCCAAAAAACTGATAATCAAACATGCTGCAAGGACAGCACTGTTTGTTTTTATAACAATTTAAACATTTCCCACTTAAAGAAGTCTGTTGCCAGAGTGCAGAAAATAATCAGAACTGGAGATAATGGTGATTTCTTTTGCTACAGTAATTGGATACCTTTTTTTAAACCTATGCAGAGCTCGCCGGGAAAGGTGGAGAACTCCAGCTAAGAACAGCCTCTCTTCAGCTGTAAAAGCAATCATGTCCACATCGACTCTTAATTCCACCATGAGGCCGCATTGAATGGTAATTCCACCATGTTACTTCACAGATCAGACCATTTTCTGGTCTACATTTTCTAATAATTTTCTTTTAAGTTACTTTTGCATAATGGTCTTTAATAAACCACTCATCCATTACCACAGCCCTCCACAGTTAGCAGGTGGACCTACTGCACACCCTATGAGCAGAACTTAAAACCCTAAGGATCCGCTCAAGCCAGAGGAAGAATAATGAAGTTCAGTCTTCATTACAATATATCAACAGGTTCTGCACACTCCTTTTAATGTATGTGGTTTAATTATCATTCTAATCCTTTTTTATCCTGAAGAGGAAAACTGAAATTCAACTCTTAACAGGCTTGGTTCTGTCAGGCCCTTTCCCTAATAACAAAAGAGGCAAGTTATCATAGTGATTAAAAGCATAGAGTCTGAAGCCAGACTTCCTGGGCTCAAATACTGCTTTACCACCTACTGGCTGTGTGATATTGTGGAATTCACTTTACGTCTCTGACATGAATAATCAATCCTACCCAATATTGGTACTATGAGGATTAAATGCTTAGAACATGTTTGGTACAAATTAGGTGCTAAGTGCTTCGATATTACCAGGTACATTATATTATATACAATACCTACGACTGGGACTCAAGACACTCAAATCTAGGCTTAGCATATGAAATGTTGCCTATAGCCTTTGCTTTCTCTTTTGCAAAATTAAAGATGATTCCTAGAGTATTTTCCTGCTATAAAATGTCATCTTGCTTTTTATATTCATTTTTTTTTCTTCCTTACAGCTGTAGTGTGATATAAGGTGAAATTGTTTTTTTACTTTAAGGAGAGGAAAACTGAGGCACGGGGAAGCAAACGCCTCTCCCCGCTTCCTTATTTTTACAAAAAAGGTGCGTCATGGCTCAGTCAGAACTAGAAAATTTCAATTTGCGTTCTCACAGCTTAATAAATGACTGGCTTCCTTGCCACTGACATTTTGGAGGATTAGACCAAGAGTCTATCCTTCCAATATTCTGTTTCTCAGAATAGCTTCAAATGGCATTTGCACATCCAAAATATTTCTTTAATAACCTGTCACGGAGCTATCCTCCACTAATTTATCTAAATCTGTATCCTAGAATGTTTGACCTCTTAGGGTATTGACCTTCACATGTTTTCAGCACCATGCCTACTGCATTTCTCAAAGAAATGTGAAAACTGCAGAGTGGCTGAGAATCTTCTCTGAAGCACCTAAATGATGGCAATTTCAGGGGTAAGATACTAGATATTATGGGCCATTGATAAGATAAAATAAATATAGGTGTTTTAAAAGGAAAAAAATCACCTCTTTTTCACTAGGGAACTATTTTTTTATTTCAAGGCTAACACTTTGAGCTCAAAGTCCCCATGGGAAGAATATAGCGAACACCATGGAATAGGGCAAATTAGGTTACCTGCTTGCCTCAGAAATGAGCTTCATTTTCACTGCCTTTTCAGAGCTCAGAGTCTCTGGGTCAGTGCTATGGAAGCACTATTTTCTCTGTCTGTCCAAAGCCCTGACAGATGGACATGAACATGGGACAAGAGGGGAGAAAGGTGAAAAAAAGACAGATAAGAAAGGAATAACAAGGACAGGTAAAAATGAGAGAGAAAAGGCACATTGAGTTACGGGAGAGAGACGTGAAGTCCTCGGAGACTATAATTTCTAAAGAACTGTCTTAATTTCGGCTCAGAGAGGGCTATCTTGCTACACAAGCACTTTCCATATAATCTAGAAAAAAGAACTGGGAGATTTAGATGATTTTTGCATATCCTTATAGATATTTGGCAGCTTTATAGATGTTCTCTAGAATTCAACTGTGTTTTCTCTCTTTTTGCCTCTTCATTTGTGATATTTCCCCACCCTTGAAAGGTTATCAGAGGTGACTCTTTAAGTTACAATGAAAGAGATTCTAAGCATTACCAATATGGATCTAGCCAGCTTCAGGGTAAAACTATGAATAACAAATTCTCTTACCATAGTTGCACTGAGCTGACGTCTCTGGGTGGAATTGCAAACATCACCATCTTTAGTAAATTATTAAAACATGATCTTAGAAAATATTCCCTTTTATAGAATCTCTTGCAGACTTTCAGTATATATCAAGAAAAATGTGTAAAAACAAGGTTTGTGTGGCATTTGAAACAGTGGCAAATAAATACGTTTATAATTATGTTTTAATTACTGTTTCAAAATAACAAAGTGATATTTAAAAGTGCTTTACCTACGTGCTTTTCTGCTGTCTCTAAACAGAATTTGGAGTTTCCAACTTGCTCTGAGTTCTATCTAAAAAAAAAAAATCATTTGGGGGCCAAGTAAATAAATCTTTTCAAATACCACATAATGAATCTCCTCAAAGGGATTAGATATAAGGTAACATTTACTTTCTTCTTTGTATTTTACCTTTTTTGGAAATTTTTTACAATAAATGTGTGTAGCTTTTACATCAGAAAAAAATTTTAATGGATTAACAAAATTATAGTAAGTCCAGATCTCCACTGGGACAAAATGAGCATTGATGGATATCCAGGGAATTTTGTGTGTATGGAAAAGGGATGGGACCACTTTCCCACCATTTTCTTGCAACACCGGGACAAAGTATATTTTCTGTAACCTGAATTATATTGCTAGTTGCATTTGTGTAAATCTCACTAACTATAAAAACTATATTCAGATGTGAAAGAATAATCACTTTTTCTGTGATCTGACACCATAACACTCAACTAAAAAGATTAACTTAGCATCTAGAAAATAATTTAAGGAATTGATGTCTACAATCATCTTTTTAGATGGGAAATGGGAGACAAGAACCTGTCAAAAACAGTCTAAATGATATTGATCAGAACTATGAAATACCCAGATTTAGTAGCCAATCAAAATGCATAGGAGGAGGTAGCAACTGATCAAAAAATAAAAATGACCTGTCGTTAATGTATAATTTTTATAAAAATAAATAATACTGCTTGACTGAAAATAATGTCCAGGAAAAAAGTTCACTCATTAAAAAAATCCCTTAAAGCAAATCACTTTGCTGTCCTCATATTTCTAGATTGAACTGACATCTGCGGCTCACCATTCTGAATATACATATGCGGAATTCAGGGAAAGGCATTTTGTCATATCAGTGAAATGACTTTAATAGTATTTTTTATTGGTCTTTTGACTTTTGATTCTAAAGGGATACACAAATGCTTGGGCCAATGAACAGTGCATTCAAAACTAACACTATCGTGGAGATGGAATGGGAGCTTGCTCTGTCCAGTCCAACACAGACCTAGTATTGCAGGAACTCCAGAAACGGTACACTCCCTCAGGGGAAATAAAACAAACTATTACTACTTATGTTCTACCATACAACTAACTACAAAACAGGAGGAAGGATTTGGAAGACAAAAAGTCACACCAAAACCCTCCTTTTAGCAAAAAGGGGAGAAATCTTGAGTTTTATTTAATGCTTACCCAGAACACAGAGCGGCACCATAATTATAGCTCTCTGATCCAGAATACTGGATCCCCAAAGCGAATTTGTCACAGCACCATCATTGAGAGGGAGAAAGAAAACATCAGACGAGGTCTGAATGATGCTCTCAGTCCCTCGTGATTTCACATTCACTGGGCAAAATCGAATGTGGAACGAACGGTGGCAGAGCGGGCCAGGCAGCAGTGGGGAAGTGGGTGAGCACGCAGAGCAGCCGGGGTAGAGCGCAAAGCTTACCTTGAACTCCTTCTCTATGTTGGCCAGCTTGGCCAGCTCGTTGCTGAGCTCTAGGGCTGTGAGCACTGGGTCTTCGCTGGACAACGAGAGGTACGCCGGGCTGGCCAGCCCCTTATAGGCGTTGATCCTCGAGCGCGAGTGGCTGAAGGAGTCGTGCCTCTGCTTCTCCATGCAGTCCCCGCACTTGCAGAAATAGTCGTGCGGCCGCTCGATCCTGGCGCCCTTCATCAGCAGCATGTGTACCACTTCGTATTTCTGGCAGTGCGCCGCCAGGATGATGGGGGTGATGTCCGGCGAGAAGCGCGTGCCGTCCTCGTCGTAAGCGTAGAAGTCGTCGTCCTGCAGCTCCTGCTCGCAGGGGCTGAGAGTGAGGCGCTTGCTGGCGGCGAAGCCAGGGTGGTTGAGGATGGCCTCTACGATGCGCACGTAGCCCTTGCTGATGGCGAGCAGCAGGGCGTCGCCAATGCGCGCTAGGTTCTCCTTCTTGAGCAGCAGCTCGGTCACCTCCAGGTGCTCGTTGCCCACAGCCAGCTGCAGCGCGTTCTGGCCCATGTAGTCCACGCAGTTGACGTTCAGCGTCTTGGACTCCTCCAGCATTTTGCGCACCACTGGGATGTTGCCGTACTCGGCGGCGTCGAGGAAGCGCTCCTCCTCGGCGGTGAGGCTGGTGCCCCGGTCATTGAACATGAAGGCCGGGCCCCTGACAGCCTGGCGGCGGCCCTTCTCCCGCATCACCGTCATGCGTCTCAGGGATGGGCTTCCCTCCATGGACCTAATCAGTAGCAACGATAAAACAACTGTAGAATATTAGGGCATATTCCTTCCTTTCACATGTCAGGGCCCTTTCTGTAATACACAGTACCCACTGCAAACCTCTGTCTGCAGGGGGCCGGCTCAGTTGCTAGCGATATCGTTGCTAACTACTTGCCTGAAAGTGACACCTGTGATCTAACCCTGGCTGCTAGATCCCAGAAGGGAGCCGGTAGCCCTTCAGAACAAATGCTCCTGTTCTCTAGAACATGATATTCAGATGGAATAATAAAAATTTCCATATACCCATGCCTTCCTTGTGGCCCTAGCAAAGATGTAACTCATCGTACCTTCTGCTCTTAAAAGTCTTGGACATTGAGGCTTGCAGGTACTTGGCATTAAAGTACTAGGCTTGAAGGCTAAGGGAAGTTAATTTTTTCAAGAATGAGACCAAAACACTCCTGCCAAGTCATTGCATCCTTTTAACTAAATAAAATCATTGACCCTCAGCCCCCTAAAAAAGCACAGGGTTTAGGCCAAGTATCATCTTGCAGGATCTTAGTTTCATCTTTTTCTCTTTAAAATTTTTGTTTATTTAAATATTTTTTTAGAGACAGGGTCTCTGTGGCCCAAGCTAGAGTGCAGTGGCAAGATCACAGCTGCAGCCCTGAACTCTTAGGCTCAAGCAATCCTCCGCCTCCGCCTCCCAAGTAGCTAGGACTACAGATACGTGCCACTCGCCCCCACACCCTCCACCTTATGCATTTCTCTTAAGGGGATTCACCCATCCCCAAGTTACAGGATTTATCTTTTCAAAGATGCAGACAAGATTTAGCAATTTTGAGCATCAACCTAGATTGATTTCATTGAAAACAATTGTGCCTTTGTAATGAGAATTATTTAATTACTAGTATTACATATTTGCCTCTTGGAACTGAAAGGATAAGGTTTGATTATGGTTTAAAAATCACTAGAATTACTTTGTGAGTAAAGCAGCTGGGCACTATTTGTACATCCAGATCAATGTGCACTGAAATCCTAACACAACCACATTAGTTGAGATTTATTTAGCTGCATTATAAAAGTTATGTCAATTGATGTGTACAGTGATTTGAGTTCACATCTTAATTTCCGTGATGCTAGGTAAATAATTTCATTTCCTTGTGCATCATCCTTATGCCAGGTATAAAATCGAATTTTATAAAGTTCTCCAGATTTTTCTCATGAATAAAAAGCTTTTTTCAGAAATTCAGGGTCTCTGAAAAACAATGCTAAATAAACACTTTTAACATTGTGACTATCTATAATCTTTCAATAGTCTGTGCAATATTTTGGTGGCTATTAAAATATTGCACAAATATTGTATAAATCTATACCTTACCTTACCCAGTTCCAACATTCAAGATAACTTCCTTTTAAAAATCTGTGATTTTTGGTGGGATGAATTGTACCAAAAAGTACCAGATAAAGCTTTTTCCACAATACTGACTTTTGAAGCAAATAAGTCAAAGTTAAAAGTGAATGGCTAGAAAAGAAAATGCTTTATTTCTAGAATATATATTCCAGAAATACCTCCTACCATTGAAAAAACTGTATTCGTGGAGTCAGAAGTTGAAAATTAATTAGAGAGGATATCGGCCTCCCTGGGTGCCTGGGGTGGATGACTAAATTGGGAAGCTTCCCTGGCAAGAGGAATCAGAGGCAGCCCAGTGCCAACTCGGTTTTCAGCTCTGTGGGCCCCAAACAGAGAGAGGAGCACAGAAGCCACTGGCAGAAGGTCTCCCGGATAGGGACTAAGGCAAATGTGGCTGGGCAAGCCTGACTCTATAGAGGTATGGCAACTAAAGGGGTCCCCAGAGAGGCTTGTTGACTTATGCAAGGACACAGTGCTGTGACTGGCACCCAATTCTAATGGCTCGACTAGTGTCAACTGATCAACTTTTAAAAATTAAATAAACATATTTGTTTTATATACACATATGTATTTGTAGCAATTTCTAGAAATCAACACATGAAGCTTTTGAAGTCATATCTGGGCTGGGACTAAGAAGTCATAGAGGAAGGGGGACTTTCACTTTTCATTTATACCCTCTTGCATATTTTGAATAGTTTTAACCACAGTGTGAATCTCTTTATTAAACAAAAAATTAATGTTTTACATTTTTATTTATTAAAATTTTTATTTTTTAATCCCTTAGTTGACAAAATGTTAAAATATAAGTATTTATTAGAAATCATTACATTATAATCTTTCTGAAGTGAAATAAATGTCCTGTATTTGGCTGTTATGAGTAGGGTATGATGTGTAGGGGAGGGTGTGGAGTAGAGTGTATGATGTGTGGTATGTGTGGGAGACAAGGGCAGGGTGCAAGTCTGAGTTGGGGGACATGTGTGTGGGGGGGTGTGTGTTGGTATAATAATGACTTTTAGGTGGACAAGAACTGCATAGAAGAGAACTTTGTCTCAAGACCAAACTCTATGACAAGGATTTTAAACAAATCTTGTAAATATGATAGCAATAAGTATATTTTATGACTATTAGTGGTACTGACTTCATTGGGTCAATATTTTTATTGTTAATCTATGAATTGATATTCTTCAAATGACAAGAAATTCCATGTTGTATAAAATATTATGTATCGATGAGAGGAAATCTATGCGGAGTATATATGTCAGAATTTCAATACTCAGAGGGGTTATCTTTGGAAAAATAAACCCTTATTAAAGTGTGACATCTTGGTGGAAAGGCTTTTAATTTAATGATTGCTACCTACAGGGAAAATCACTTATAAAAATCCTATTATTTCTCCCAAAAGACACTGGGTTGAGAATATTAGGACATCATTCTTTCATGAATTTTTCCTTTCTATTTCTTAGTATTTTAGGTTTTTTCTTAATACTATCTTATTCCTTCAGAAGCTATACCTCCATACTATATATTTGAACTGAAATGTCTGATTTTAGAACAAATCACATGTCATTTTTATTTTGTCTTTAAAAACTTCTGACACTGAGAAGTCAGATATCTCAATTAGAACAAATTACACTGTTTTATCAAAATAAAAGAGCTGACAATGTCACTCATGGTAAATTCACAAATCGAAGTGTCTTTTTGTTAACTTTCCTTATAGTACTAAGATAAATTTCATTAGTCTGAACTGATGGAATGAGTCAATATTCACATCATCCACAATACATAAACATAATCTCAGCTGGCCTTGACAATGTATCTCTTCTAGCATGAAAAATACGGAAGGAATGTGGGTGAATGGGACAGAATGTTTAACTCTAGCAATGTTAACACTAAAATTATTTTGCCAGGAATTTCCTACCCTCTGATCTTCATCCAATGGGTCATTCAACACTGTGACAGTACATTCTGCAGGGACGTCTTTCTAGTAAAAGCATTGGAGTACCACTGACCCGCAGATCTATGAGGGCCATGTTTAAGCATCTTTTGACTAATACAGATAGCTAGTAATATCCAACTGCCAAATTGTGTCTCCACAAAATTCGTATGTTGAAGCCCTAACCCTTAATGTGATGGTATTTGGAGATAGAGCCTTTGGGAGATTATTATGAAATCATAGGATCATAAAGATGGGGCTCTGATGATGGGATTAGTGCCTTTATAGGACAAAAGGGCTTGCTCCCCTCACCCTGCTACCTCCTATGTAAGGAAACATCGAGAAGGTGGCCACCTACAAGGTACCTCTCCAAAAACCGAACATGCTGGCACCCTGATCTCAGACTTCCAGTCTCCAGAACTGGAAGAAAATAAATTTCTGGGTTTTTTTGTTTGTTTGTTTTTTTAGTCACCCATTCTATGATATTTTGTCATGGCAGCCTGAATGAGGACACTGACAATACATTTTAAGGCAAAACATTTTTTTTCATGCTTTTTGCGATCCTAGAATTTGTCCAAACAAAACACTTAAGCAGATGAAAGGCTCTTTTGAGAAATATTGTGGTAGAACCATAGGAAACCCTCTGCTCTACTCTATTCAGAAGCTAAAATACAAGTAACACTCCTCAGTTCTCATAACTTTCCTATCAACTCATCTGACCTCCAACAGGGTTTCTCTAAGTGTGACCTGAGTACCACCTGCCTCAAGGTCACTTGGAAGGCTTGTTGAAATCAGATTTCTGGGCCCCATTCCAGATGAACTAAGTCAGAATCTCTCATGGTTGGACCCTGAAATACGTACTTTAAATGAAAGTCCTTTACAATTCCTGGGAACCTCCAATATAAAAATAATGGAGCATCCTGGATCAATGACCCCTGACTATGAGGCCTTCAAGCAGTTGTCACTCTGGTCCTGCCAAAAATGAAGTGGAAATAATATGTTTGAGCAGCACGGGCTAAGGGACAAGTAGTCTCACATTCATTTAGTTTCCCTAAACTTTATTAACTATTTAAAATTTGGTCTCCAGGAAGCTATTTACCTAAACCACAGCACAGCAAGTAGGCAGCCTACAGAAATGCCTTCAGCAGTGACCATTTAATGTCAAGACCTTGCTTTTATGAAGGAGTGATATTTTTAAAACGTTACTGTATCTTTACAAAAACAATTAAAGAGTTAAATAGATAGTTCACTATAGTATTCTTTGTACCTTTTTTTGAGGATTAAAGTGCCAAAGTCAACCTAGAATTGCAAATCAACAAGCCTCTCTCTTCAGATGAGTTTTTGTCCTTTAATAATAAAAACTGTATAACCCTCACTCCCCTGACCCCTCTTACGGTATCCAGGAATATAGCTAGGAACTAAAACTGCCCAATTATTATTACTATCTTATTCCAAATTTCTGGCACAGTCTTTCTCCTTTTTTAAATGATTTCTCACATAGATTTAAAAACAAATATCCTATATTCCATGTGTTTTAAACCTGTTTTAAGTTATTTGGGACAGAGTCTTACTCTGTCACCCAGGCTGGAGTGTAGTGGCAGGATCTTGGCTCGCTGCAACCTCTGCCTCCCTGCAACCTCAGGCTCCCGGACTCAAGTGTCTGACTTTATTTAAA